TCTTGGCACCTTGCCGCGTGGAGTAGGTTAATTAGATAATGATAATTAGATAATAATAATATGCAATTTATACTGATACACGCCCGGTTTCTGAAACACTGTCGATCATCGTAGAAATTAACTAATCAGCTATTTTTTTATCAGCATTCTTACCATTAAGAAGATGATTCAGATCAATTCAGAGAGTTTAACCATCCTTTGACAAGTAAAATGACATTTTAAAAACCATTTGACAGCTGATTAGTTCACTTCTACGATGATAAGTGTTTCAGAAACCGGGCGTTAATGTTTTACACGGTAATTAATTTATAACGTTGATTGAAAAACTCCAATTATAAAAATGATTGACACGATGTGCCTACACCAACTAGGTGGAAGGATGATTGCTATTAATTAACATTGTATTAATCAACATTTCTTATAGTGCCTGTGAAGTTTTGGTGTGAATTGTAACTTTTGTTTTCGGAATGCTTTTATTTATCGGTAAATATTTTCGGGGAAAATCGTTATGTGAATGTACCGTGCAAAGTGACGTATAGAAGTATTAAACTTACATATTGTCAAAAACACTACTACTGTCAACATTATCTATAAAAACGACGAAAAAATCATGTCTGTTTTATGGTATTTTTTGTTATAGCGGCAACAGAAATTCATCGTTTGTGAAAATTCCAACTGTCTTACTATCACGAACCATTAGATACAGCCTGGTGACATATGGACAGAAATACGTAAATACAGACGGACAGCCGAGTCTTAGTAATAGGATGCCGTTTTACCCTTTGGGTACGGAGCCCTAATAAGTCCCAGTAATAATGCAATGGCTTAAAACAGGTAGCTCTAACCATCAACCTTAATGCATACTTGCATGCATGTCACAGTTTTGTTACGCACAGTACCTTGCTGAGGAATAGTCAAATATTAACCGTCTTCTCCTATTACGACTATTAAGGGATATTTTTATGGATCATACAATCGGTGTAACTCAGAGACCCTTTTAAGTTGGCACACGGTAATTAATTTATAACGTTGATTGAAAAACTCCAATTATAAAAATGATTGACACGATGTGCCTACACCAACTAGGTGGAAGGATGATTGCTATTAATTAACATTGTATTAATCAACATTTCTTATAGTGCTTGTGAAGTTTTGGTGTAAATTGTAACTTTTGTTTTCGGAATGCTTCTATTTATCGGTAAATATTTTCGGGGAAAATCGTTATGTGAATGTACCGTGCAAAGTGACGTATAGAAGTATTAAACTTACATATTGTCAAAAAACACTACTACTGTCAACATTATCTATAAAAAACGACGAAAAAATCATGTCTGTTTTATGGTATTTTTTGTTATAGCGGCAACAGAAATTCATCGTTTGTGAAAATTCCAACTGTCTTACTATCACGAACCATTAGATACAGCCTGGTGACATATGGACAGAAATACGTAAATACAGACGGACAGCCGAGTCTTAGTAATAGGATGCCGTTTTACCCTTTGGGTACGGAGCCCTAATAAGTCCCAGTAATAATGCAATGGCTTAAAACAGGTAGCTGTAACCATCAACCTTAATGCATACTTGCATGCATGTCACAGTTTTGTTACGCACAGTACCTTGCTGAGGAATAGTCAAATATTAACCGTCTTCTCCTATTACGACTATTAAGGGATATTTTTATGGATCATACAATCGGTGTAACTCAGAGACCCTTTTAAGTTGGCCGTGTCTACCGTGCAACACTATATCTCTGGGCCTTTTTAGGATGCCGTACCCAAAGGGTAAAACGGGACCCTATTACTAAGACACCGCTGTCTGTTTGTCCCTTTGTCAACAGGCTGTATCTCATGAACCATGATAGTTACACAGTTGAAATTTGATCTGGGTATTTGTTTCTCAAGGAGGGTCGACGTCAAGCAGGCAGCTGGTTGTAAAAATATAGCCAAAACTGCTTACAACATTAGTCATGTTGAGCCGACCCCACCTAGATGGGATAGGGTCAGGAGGATAATGATAACTTGTATACTTGTCCCTCTATTTTAAAAGTTCGCGTCAAACGAAGTCATTTGATAGAGGCTATTTCACTTTCGGATGTTGGTTAAAAATGTCCTGATGGTGAATTATTATTTGTAAAAAGATTTTTTATTGGTTGTGGCGGCTCCTCAATATTGGGGAGACTACCTTTTCTAGAAGCACAGCACATACCATTTGGTTCATCGATCCATTTTTGGCAGAACACTTAGAGCAGATCTTATTCGTGGCTACGATTTGGACGGAAGACTGTTGAGCAAAATGCATGCAAAGGATTAATAGCAAGATACAAATAAAGAGCCTTTTCTAGCGGCGGCATTTCAATCAAAATTATAAATAAAAAAACACTTATTGTGGCACTATAATAGTTAGACATATGCTGTCGCGACACTTTTTGTAAATAATGATGTGTTCTGCAAAGTCGTAGTACATTATTTTATTCTATCATCAATAGTTTTCGCAGCGCACGCGATGTAAAGAATATTCTAGGTAATTTTTGTACACCTTGAGTAACATTATTGGAGTTTTAGTAAGGATCCCTAATTTTTTTGAAAATATAATATAGCCTATGTCAAGCAGGGATAATGTAATGTAGCTTCTCAAGAGTGAAAGAATTTTTCAAATCGGTTTAGTAGTTTCAGAGCCTATTCAATACATACAAACAATCAAATCTTTCCTCTTTATATAATAGATAAACATCCTTTTTTGAGTATGTTAAATGATTTTTAACTATTTTTTTTATCAAATTTTGGTTATATCATTTTCTCATACTAACACTTATTTCTTTAATTTAAGTATATATTATTAACTTTCATGGTGATTAAACGTTCTTAAACGTTTTATTTTCATCTTAATTGATCTTTATTATAATTAAATTAATAACAATGTTTATTATTATTAATAGGCCGTTACAATATACATAGGGCATTATATGATTTTAACGTCGATTTTGAACTAAGTAAGTATGGTATTTATTCTACGTGTAGTTTCAGTAAAGCTGTAGAGAAGCGACAATAAAACAACCAGTTACTAAGTAGCTTTTATTCATGAACTTTACGCGAACAGCACTCGGAATGGATCGTTTATTTAGACCAGAGCAACTTAATTATCATTAAATTCGAAAAATGTACACGGACAAAGCGATAACTTACATCGATCCTAAATTACAATATAAATTATAAGTATCAATTAATATTGCACAGATTTCAAATGGAACCATATCTTACACAGAATAATTAACATATTAGTTGAATTAATATAAAACCATATTTACAATATTGTATTCGCTATTCTTATATGAATATACTGTTATTATTTATTTTTTAATTAAAACTAATTAAATCAATAATAAACACTATATTACAAGTATATAAACATTAAAACAGTAGTGTAGGGAATTAAGTAATCAAATGCAGACAATCGTTTTATTAAATGCTAAATAACAATCGTAATTATTTATATACAGGTGATATCCCTTAAAAGTTGGGGAGAGGCTTAAATCGGAATATATATTCCGATTAAAGAACTGTTTTTAATTGAAACTTGTAATGATTTACAAAGGATTGCGGATTAAATTTACCTATACCTTATATTTAATATTTATATTCCCATAGCTATCTATTATTATGGAAATATAAAGTTAGCGGTAATGAGTGTGTTAAGTTCTTACGAATTGAAAATTTTCCTCAATCGCTCAATCGTGAAGTAAGCGACCTTCGTGCTAGAAACTTCGTTGCAAAAGTTTATTGATTTTTATAATACACGTTCGTAACATTGATTAGTTCTATGGCACATACTATATTTACACGGTAATTGTTTTAAAAAAGAAAACCTCATTAAACTCTTTAAATTCCAACTAAAACAAAATATTAACGTATTGCAACATTATTAATTATGAAGTAAATAAAGTCATGATTAATTCACTGTTTAAATTATAAAAATATAATAAATGTAAACGTAACAAAAATTCTTTTTATAGTGCGTATTTAAAATAGTTGTAATAAATACAAAATGGCGGGCGATTTCCCGCTGTTTTGTTTCTTTTGTCAATTGTGCACATGCTCAAATATTTACTTTGTGGTTTTAATGAACTCCCAAAATTTCCGCTTACTAATTCATTTAGCTAGAAATATAATGAAGACCTATTTGCATTGTATAATTCACAGGAATCCAAACGTACGCTTATTACAAAAAATTGTCGTAAACAATTTGTTATCTTTATCTTGTTTTATATTTATCTACTGTACATCACTAGAGCTTTAACTGTGGTAGGTTCGCTGTTGCAGGAATGTGCAGGTCCGTCAAAGTAAGTACCACGGCTTCACAGAAGACCGGCGTAAAGTGGAAGCGTTACACTTCCGCGTTTCGTCTGGTGAGTGAGGTAGCCGGGGCCCACTCTACCAAAAGGTAGAGTGGGCCCCACGCAACGCATCTACGGTGGCAACCTTAGGCTGTTGCCAATGCCAATGGGTGGCGGTTATCTCTTAACATCACGTGAACCGCCTGCTCGCTCATCCCTTTTTGACATAAAAAAAACTTACTAGGATTATAAGAAACTTGTTGAGTTTTTCTTTCATGTGAAAAGTTGCTAAGCGAGCAGGCGGTTCACCTGATGTTAAGTGAATACCGCCGCCCATGGACATCTGCTACACCCGACTTTTGCAGATATGTTGACAACCTTTTGAAAATTGAGCTCCGGCTACCTCACGCACCAGACGAAACGCGAAAATATTTGTCATACCTTCACATTACGCCGGTCTTCTGTGAGGTCGTGGCACTTACCCGGACGGGCCTGCCCATTCGTGCAACAGCCGAGGCTGCTGCGGGGCCCTACCACCGTAGTTATATGAGTAGTGTGTTAAAGGCGTGTTTGTCGAGAAGAATTTCTCTCTCAATAGTAGATTCCTTTACCGCCTGACCTTCCTCGGGAACCTGACTGAGTTTCCGAGGAGCTCCTTGTTGGTGCGTCATTTCTTCCCCCCGATGGCTCCGATCAGCCCCTGGGGAGTGGACAGGCTGGCCAGGGCCATTCTGTCGCCCCTCTCCTGGCCACTGGCCAGGAGCCTTTCGGAATTGAGGGTGGCTATCGGGAGGCGGTCCGTGGCGGTGGGGTTGCTCTGGGCGGCGGTGATGGGGGTGGCGGCGCGGGGGAGGGTCTTCGCGTGGGTGGGCTGCGTCGCTGGTGGGGATGTTCGTAGCATCGCGGCTGGCTTCTGCTCCCGGCCGCTGCAGACCTGCCGGTAAAACTGACGTGGTCAGATGACTGCCTGGTGCAGTTGCGATGTATCGGCGTCGGGCCGTGGGCTCGATTCCCACACGAGACAACCATTCGTGTGATAAACAGATTATTTTTCTTCTATCTTGTATTAAGTGATGTTTTTACTTTCAGTCCCGAGACTATTAAAGCTTCATCTGACGCGGAACCGTTGGGCTAGCCAGAACCCACGGCTTTGGGCCCTCCGCTGTGGGAAGGCCAGAGATTATTATTTATCTTGATGTTTGTTCAACTGAAATTCATGTATGTAAAACGTTCTTACAACACAGGTTAATGTTATCCTACAGTACGCTGGCAATATTTTCGAAGGGAAGACTACATTATAGATCTTGCAGGTCGCTGTAGTCGTTGGGACTGGGTAGTACCCAAGACCTTCTACACAAAATACTAATCAACTAACCTAGTCTAATCTAGGTGCTTGGTGCTCCGAAGGCAGTGGTAATCAAATAATTGGTTTACATCATGAGGATCACCTTCACGGTGTTTGAAGCACAAGAGGGGTTAGAAGTCTGTTGCCATTTAAAAGAACAGGCTCTCTCCTAAAGCATTAGACTTTACCATGGCAGAGCCATGCAGTAGCAGAACGAGGGAACCTTAAATGAGACCGGCAAAAAGCATAAGTACTTACACTTTTCTTGCGCTGATGGAAGTGATAATATGGCAACTCTAACGAAAGAAGACGGTATTACAGAAGACGATGGGTGGTTTAATATTTTATCTTCTGTCAAACTTCGTTTAATCTGCCCTGTGTTGGCAAATCAAGGAAATGGAATGAAATTGAACTTCTCAACGCCGCGTAATTTTGTCATCTATGACGCTTTCACCTCATATTTTATGGAAGAAACCTCAACAGGACCGAAGATAAGGCCCCCTTTTTGATTGGTCACCTTTTCTGCCTTTTGAGCCGTGATAGCTCACGGGCGCTCGCCTTTAATTCAAAATACTCGAGCAACCTGAGTTCGATCCCCGGTTCTGGCACCAATGCAGTTTTTAACTTTAATCTGCCCGTGCTGTTGGCAAAACATCGTGAGGAAACCTGCATATTTTCGAAATAATGAACAAAAAAAAATATATTTCGGATATGTGAAGTCCGCCGCAGTAATTTGGTGGACTATGACGCTTGATACCCTCATATTTTATAGAGGAGGCCTTTGCCCAACAGTGGGACGATGGATAGGCCCCCTTTTTTGATTGGTCTTTTTACCTTTTCTGATCCCCGAGGAGTGGCACGTACCTGGTGGTGGTTCTCCCAATCCTTGTGCTGGCAGAAGGCGCCGCAGTAGCGCGCCGCGTTGCACCCAGAGCACGTCTCCTGGGCTTTGCGGCCGCAGTTCCAACAGCACTGTTGCCCGCGAAACATTCGATTCGTTATTTATTTATCTCGAAACACAGCAAGCGAGTGCCATAGCTCGTTGTCCGGGCGCTCGCTTTTAATGAATATACTCGAGCAAGCCGATTTGGAACCCGGCGCCGGCACCAATGAAGTTGTTAATTTTAAGTGCAGACCTATCACGTGTTCAGCGGTGAAGGAAAGCGCCGTGAGGAAACCGGCATACTTTCGAAGTGACTTCATATGTGAAGTCCGCCATGGTCCGCAATGGGGTCGCGTGGCAGACTATACCCTAAGCACTTAAGTATTAGACACTTAAATAATAATTTCTTTTGTGTGTGTGCAAATTTGTAATGTCATGTGGCATACGCGAGGAGAAAATTTAATTCAGATATATCGATTCCACAATGTGGACCATGGCGTTAATGCTTATTGCTCTGGATTCAAGCAGCTTTCATCTTCTGAGGTGGAGATAAGCGCCAGCGAAGCTATCGTCGAAATCTAATGTATGGATGTACCATCCCCTGGAGAGATCAGCACCGACCAAGCTATTATCGCTGCTATATATATAAATTGTATGAATGTGTGCTTCTTTGATTGAGTATGTTTGCACGTGTGCGTGTGTGGGCTCACATTATGGTGGGGGGCTGCGGGGCTGTGGGGCGGAGGGGTGTGGCGCCGCTCGGAGGGCGCGGGCGCCGCCCTGTCCCCTGCCACCAGCTCGAGAGCCTTGCTCTCGGCAGCGCCCACCGCCCGTTGCAACTCCAGCAGGGCCTGCCGCTTCACCTACGCAAACGCATGTACATGGAGCTAGCAACAGGACACATTGCTTAGCTGATGTTAAACGACAGTAGCCTTGATGCCCTTTCGATCATCAGGCAAATTCCCTGATCATAATCTTCGAATATTCGTTTAGTAGCAACCAGGGACTCTGATTTTTAGTTATATCCTTCTAATCTGTAACACATTCTTTCCTCAAATTGCAATCAGACCACTCAGACAAAAGACAATTACGAGAAACCGCTCCGGTTACTTTCATTCTTCAGTGGAATTTTTAGTTATGTGAAATAACAATTGACGGTCCTGGCATTGGTACTAGGATTCATTATATAACGGTGCTTTACTATTAAAATTTGTAAGCTATACTAATATGATAGTATATAGCCTTACCTGGTTAACCGCGTCTTCTGCCCGTCTCCTCACTTCAGCCACTCTCTCTTCTGTTTGTCTGACAGCCGTCACCATTATCTCATTCGCGGCTCTTTTGATCTCGTTGCTCTCCGTTGTTTCCACACCTAAATGGAACGTTGTTGTTAAAATCACGGTGCAGTTTTAATCAGATCTAACTACTTAATGCTGTCGTATATCAAAAGTCTCATTTAACTTGAGAGAGATACAATTTTAAAATCATATCGGAACTTTTGGTGAAAGATGATAATATATACGAATAATGTTTGAGTACCATTTTATTACGTGATGTTCATGTAGCTTCAATATTTTGCATGTTTTTATAAAACTGGAAGAGAATCTAATCACGTCTAACTAGTAGATCAAGTAAAGAATACGTACGCCAGTTGTACTTGGTAACAACTACTCGTAGTATGCTAAAGGATAATACACAACGTCATTTCTCTATTACAACAGAATACGTTTAATTGAAATTCCGTAGCGGTAAAATTAACTCGTAACTTCGATGTACTCCGTGGCGCAGTTGCCAAGGTATTGGCTTCGGCGTCGGGGGTCGTGCGTTCGATTCCCACACGGGACAACTATTTGTGTGACCCACAGATAGTTTTGTCGCATCTGGGTGTTTGTCCGCGTGAAATTTACGTTTGTAAAACGTCATTTACAACACAGGATAATATTATCCTAAAGTAAGGGCAGTGTTTAAAAAAAAACTGCTTGGCCTCCTGCTTACCCCTCTGCTGCAGAATGGCGAGCGCCCGCTTCGTCTTCTCGACCATGCTGAGTATGCAGTTGAGCATTGTGTTTATGTTGCGCCACTCGTCGTCGCTCTTTACGGAGCCGGCCCCTCGTGGCTCTGGCAGTGACGCGTTCATCGAGGATACATCTCGCACGGATATACCGCCTGGAGCAATTGAACGAATGTAATTCGAGGATAACAGTCAGGCCACTCCCGATTGAAACATACTATTACACTATTACACTAGTTGAATGTTGTTTGTAAGGTTTTGTCTGTGGTAGGAACACGCAATGGTGTTCACTGTTGCACGAATGGGCTGGTCCGTCCGTGTAAGTACCACGAGTGTTACAATTCTGCGTTGCGTCTGATGAGTGAGGTAGACGGGGAGCACTTTATTTGAAGGCAACGCTTCTGCAACCCTACGATGTCCATGGGCGGCGTTCACTCAACATCAGGTGGACCGCCAGCTCGTTAGCCACTTTGTCACATAAAAAAAGGCGTAGTATGCTAGACTCTACAGTGTAGAGTATGCACACTGGATGCGACAAGCATTGCTAAAAAGCAATAGAAAGAACGTAGATAGACATCAAGATTTTCGCGTCATTGTCGTCCTCTCAGCTTAGTTGGTAATGCATCTGGGCGCGAAACCACAAGACGCAGATTCGAACCCCGCAGCGCCGAAAGTTTTTGTTCATTTATCTAGAAAATTTTTAGCACAAAACGATGCAAGACTGATGGGAAAAGGAATCTTACGCGGATAATCTGGATGATACGTGGTAGGGTCACGCAACAGTCTTTGCTGTGACACGAATGGTCATGCTCATTCGAGGAAGCACCACATTCTCACAGTAGACCTTCCTGGAAGTGTTACACTTCCGCGTTCCGTTTGGTGAGTGAAGTAACCGTGGGAGGGTTTTCATTTTGCTACAACGCATTTGTAACCCTATGGTTGTTTCAGATGTCCATGGGCGGCGGTATTCACTTAGCATCAGGTGAACCGTCAGCTCGCTTTTTTATGTGAAAAGTTGCCAAGCGAGCAGACGGTTCACCTGATGCAAAGTGAATACCGCCGCCCATGGACATCTGCTACACCCGAAGGTCGCAGATGCTTTGACAACCTTTTGAAAATTGGTCGCTTGTCACCATCTCACATAATAAAGTCTTACCATCTCTCCTTTCGAAGCCAGGCTCGGCGGGGCCGCCATGGTACGGTGGGTACGGGTGACCGTAGTCGAACAGGCTGGCGTTGCTCGGCAGGGGGCACAGAAATGGGGAGGGATTGAGGAGCATGCTCGAGGGCGCCCTCTTGGCTTGCGGGGGGTAATCTTCGTGGGAGCCGTTAGACTGTGACGCGTCGTAGAACCTGCAACAGACAAAGTTTTCTGTGGTAGGGCTACGCAGCAGCTTTTGTTGCACGAATGGGCAGGCTCGGTAAGTACCACGACTTCACAGAAGACGGGCGCAAGTAAGTATAATACTTTCGCGTTTCATCTGGTCAGTGAGGTGACCGGAGCCCAATTTTCAAAAGGTTGTCAACGCATTTGCAATCGGGTGTAGCAGATGTCTAAGAGCGGCGGTATTCACTTAACATCAGGTGAACCGTTCGCTCGCTTGGCAACTTTTCACATAAAAAAAAACACGAATGGGCAGGCTCGTCCGTGGAAATATCACGACCTCACAGAAGATCGGGGTGAAGTGAAAGTATCATACTTTCGCGTATCGTCTAGTGATTAAGGTAATAGGGAAATTTTTGATGGTTGGTAACGCATCCGCAATCTGTTTAAGTGTTGTAGATGTCGGGTAAAATAGCATAGTATAAAACAAAGTCGTCCCGCTTTCCGTCTGTCCCTATGTATGCCATAGATCTTTAAAACTATGCAACGGATCTTGATGATGTTTTTTTATTAGATAGAGTGATTCAAGAGGAAGGATTATTAATGCACTGCACCCGTGCGGAGCCGGGGCCGATCGCTAGTATAATTATAAAACAATTGACATTTGAGTCGATATTTGCAATTTTTAACCCGTTCTATGAGTTTTTTTGAATTCACAGAAATACAGAGCCAGTGCGACTTGATTTGAAAAAATAAATCGCGCCGGCTTATTGTAAATTTCCATTCCGTGCCATATAAAAGTTTCTAACTGTAAGTATTTTTTTTTTATGCGAAAAGTTGCCAAACGAGCAGACGGGTCACCTGATGTTAAGTGAATACCGCCGCCCATGGACATCTGCTACACGCGAGGGTTACAGATGCGTTGACAACCTTTTGAAAATTGGGCTACTAACTTGGATTATCTTGAATTGATTAATTAGCTTGAATTATATGAAAGTAAGAAAACTTTGATAGTAAACCAATACTAATTTAGGTGTTCACAAAAGCTTTTACGTCATTTAACCACAACCTATCGAACTACCAAACTGATAATAACTCAAACTCGAAGGGCCAATTACAGCTGAAGTTTTTCTTATTACTACTCAGATCTTAGTATTCTTCCATTAATTAACTCCTCGGAACTTTTGTTCGGATGAGAACAATGCCGAGTTTTGTTTTGAACGCCATCCAACCAGATAAAGGAATTAGCTGTCCCCCTTTGTGGCGCCCGGGAACTTTCCGAGCTATCGGGAGAGCCGACCACGCGAAAAGAACTGCGATTCCATTGAATACTCATTAATTCGTACGCTCGCGAACGGAACAACAATGGGGGGGTGAAGACAAAGCGGAACTTAGTGTAAAATGTTTAGAGAGTTGAAATGAACGGGCATGGTCCAAGTGACGAGGTGGGGCGTTAAAGGAATTCAACGGAGTTCAGTCTGTATGTTCTGTTTTCTTCTGTCCTTATCCCACGTATGTGAGGTGAGCTCATGTGGAATGTAGATCTTGTTGTTAAAGTACTGGCTACGTTTTTCACGCCCTAGCCGCCTGCCTCACGTCTACCCTCAAGTGTGTGTATGGTCAGTATATAAAGTACATTATGATTTAAACTTTCTTAATTCTTCCATATTTTCAAATGGTATTTTAATTTTTATAGTGCCATGCACTAAAGATGAAATTTAACATTCGTATAAAATAATGGAGGAAAATATTTTCGCCAGTGCCAGGAACTAAACCGTTTATTATCGCACCGACGAAAATCTCAACGTACTCGTATTTTATCAACCATATTTTTAATTAATTTATTTATTTAAAACTTTTTGTGTCAAAATTTGATGAGGGACCTTTAGACATGAGGCATTTTTTTCCGTAATAATTAAAAAAAATTAAAAGATGATAATGATTTCTTTTCATTGTCAAATATACGGAAAGCAATTCAACTTATCAAATTGTTAGACTATATTTTTAATTATAATATTTATATTATAATTTTATTTATATTTAGAATGATATTATAATTATATTATTGTTGAATTGGCCTATTTGGAAATCATAGCGGTTCAAACCCGCATTATTTAAATATTTGTTAACAAAATTTTACAAATTACGGTTGGATTGGATTCGTTCTACGTTTAACTCTTTCAGGTGGGATCTGTTTGATTTAGTACAAAAATAGATATATAGATATTTACATAAGACACATAATAGCCTATAGTATATTTACCAGATAAATAATTTGTGCATTAACTGTAAAGGCAATACTAAGAAACTTTCTTGTACATGACTCATAATAAACATTATTCTTACGTTACGTCTTAGTTATATCCATTTCAAATTGCGTGTAAATGGGTTTAGCCGTTGCGGGGAAAAGAGATATTGTAAACATAATCTCTCGCATTCATAATACTTTGATGTGATAATCTTAGATATTTTAAAACACATACGTAAGTAAGAATAAACATAACTAAAAAATTTCGCTACCCGCTTGCGCTCATAACTTGCACGCTACGGAGTGCGACGGGCGTGCATTGTTTAGTCCGTGGGGCGCTGCGTTTGATATCCGATATTAATCTATGGCCACGAACGGATTTTGGATCCAGTTCAATTCATTATTAATTCCCGACGCGCAAACTGCCCGCTGTTAGCGTCGCTTTATCGCCTTAATAAGCCAGCCATTCGGCTAGGTTATTAGCGAAAATACACTACAACAGCTTTGCAGGGCTTTTCGTGGCTACACAAATCTAGATTGTATGTAATTTTCTATCCCCAAAAGAGGAATGCCCCGCTTATATGTACATCAATCTATGATTGGTACATCTTTTGCAATTACTACCGAATATAAAGAATAATTAAACAATGAAGATTATATGCTTGAGATATTTTAGTTTCATTTTGCTCCTTTAAGCGTTGAGCTTTCTGACTGAAGCATAACTTAAGATTAAATATTATACAAAAATACGCTTAAACATTAGCATTTTCAGTTATACAATTGTAATCTTTAAACAGGAACAATGAAAGTTCGAATTAGTGGACGAAATTTATATCTTTTACGGGCGTACCAGAGGCGTAGTTACCAGTTTTGATTCTTTGCGGCACTCTAGTGCGTGGGTAGTTAAAGTGCTCCTCTGTTAGTGTTCTTGCGTTATGAGAACAGAAGTTACGTGTTCAGTCCTGACGCAAAATTAAGCATCGTCTTTTATCTTTAATCCGAGAAAGTGGCTAACGAGCTGGCGGTTCACCTGGTGTTAAGTGATAACTGCCGTATTTGCAACACCCGTAGGGTTGCAGATGCGTTGCCACCTTTTAATAAAATGGACCCCGACCTCACTCACCATACGCGGAAGTATAACAAATCCTTTTTACGCCGGTCCTATGCGAGGTCGTGGTACTTACCCGGACGGACCTGCCCATTCGTGCAACAGCGAACACTGTTGCGTGGCCCTACCACAGGCTTCTAACACAGGCCCTATCACAGGCCCTACTACACAACCTACCTGTCGTAACCGTGGAAAGGCTAGTTTAATAATTATTAAATATATTTAGAATAAAGATATTTTGAAATTTGTATTCGAATTGAATTTGTATAACTTTGTACTTCTTTTGATGAAATTCTTTTCCCAGTAACAGATCAGCATTACGTGATTCAGAACAGTCATACACCTTGTATGGTTACTTTTATTTACTTGTATGGCCCTCAGGGATAATGTTCTTTTTTAATTTCTTTAATAATATTACCCTTACTGTAGTTATAAATAGTACCTGGAGGACCGAGCTTTGCTCGTTTTTTTTTTTGTTGGTAAATCATGTATTTTGGTAAAAAGGGATACAAAGTTTCAGCTTCCAGTATTAATACATATATAGATTATGGTGGACGGTAGATTGGGTTGATCTTCAATGAGCCAGTCCGTTGCTCACGCACGCATTTGTCTGACCCTCTAAATGTAAGCAATAAACAAACGTTAAACAGTCTAACGCTCGAAAACTCGTCGCGTAAAAATCACAACGCTGCCCACAGGCGCACGCAGTGTCATAACGGCGCCTGCGGGCTGCGTTCGGCAAAGTTACGGCACCGAACCCGTGTTCTAATAACTTTGCGGGGCCGTAACTCTGCGCACATGGGGCCAACGGGTGCGGGGGTGAGACGCGGCCGCTGCCAAATTGTACGAATATCGATAAGTTGGGGTGGGGGCGCGCGGCCCGTTTCGACGGTTTTCGCCGTTATCTATAAAAACTTCAAAAAAATCATGTTTGGGACACTTAAATATTTTTTTATTCTGTTTTTTAGTGTTTGTTGTTATAGCGGCAACAGAAATACTTCGACTGTCTTACTATCACGGTGCATGAGATACAGCCTGATGACAGACGAACAAACAAACTGACGGCGGAGTCTTAGTAATCATTTTTAGGGTCCCGTACAAAGGGTCCCGTTTTACCCTTTATACGGAACGCTAAAAATTACCATGTCGCATTTTTGCGGATGCATTTTTAACGAGCCCTGGGCTTTTGACAAGCTGGGACTGTCTCCGTAAAATGGTGTGAAAGATATATGGGATGGAGCAGATATTGTCATCGATAAAGCATGGCAGCAGTTGCCAAGCAATTGGCTTCGGCACTGGTTGTCGCGGGTTCGATTCCCACACGCTAAAACTATTTGTGAGACCCACAGATAATTGTTTTCGTATATGGGTGTTTTTCCACGTGAAATTTAAGTATGTATAACGTCAATACAACACAGGATAACGTCACCCTAGAGTGAGGGCCATGTTTTACAAATAATTGACTCGATCAGAGTCCCGTTAGAATAATTTGATTACGCATGATCCTAAACACAAGTCAGTATTTATGCAGAGCGACAAAACTTTCTATGCGTATTTCCAACATATGTCGTGGCGCGGCTGTGTCTGAGAGGAGCGCGGTAAACTGGCGCCTGGAGGTACCCTTTCTGCAATTAGTTGTTGACGATCAAACTTTCAACTGTCAAATCAAATCA